TCCTTGTTTTGTTATGGAAGTTATACTAACCTCAGAAAATGAGCTGAAGTATATACCCTCTTTTTATAATGTCTGAAAGAGTCGAGTCTATTTAAGAGTGGAATTTTCTGGGGCTTCCCTGTTAGCTCATTGGTAAAGAACCTGTCTGCCAATGCGGGAGACATGGGTTTGACCTCGGATCCAGGAAGATCTCACATGCCGTGGAGTAACTAGGCCCATGCACCACAACTTCTGAGCTCACACTCTGGAGCCCATAAGCCACAACTACTGAAGCACCACTATGAGGCCTATGAGTTGCAACTACTGAAGCCCTTGTACTCTGGAGCCCGTGCCTGCTCCGTGACAAGAGAAGCGACCACAATGAGCAGCCCGCGCACTGCAACAAAGAGAAGGCCCCGCTCACAGCAACCACAGAAAGACATCACAGCAATGAAGACCCAGTGTAATCAAAAATAAATAAATATTTTTTTTTAAAAGAGTGGGATTTTCTGAGGTAGAATTTATGTGTAAAACCACATAGGCCTATTTGTATGGGTGTGTATGTATATGTAGTTTGTAGATATGCTTAAATCAATAACCCAATTTCTTTAATGTGTGTATCTATTCAGGTTTTCTAGTTCTTCATGAGTCAGTTTTGTGTGTTAAGCTTTCCCTGAAAACTACCCATGTTGTCAAGATTCTCAAATTTATTAACATAAATTTTATATTTTAAAATCTGTTGTTTGTACTTATATCTGTTTTCTCTTTCCTGATATAGTTCATTCATGCCTTTTTTAAGCCAATCTTGCCAAAAGTTTATCTATATTAATAGTGTTCAAAAAATCTGCTTTTGTTGATTCTCTCTATTGTGTCTTTGTTATTTTATTGTATTAATTTCTGCTTTTTACCTAATTTTATTTTCCTTCTAATTTACTTTTGTTCACATGTTGTTCTTTTCCGAATATCTTGAGTTGAAGTCTTAGCTCCCTGGTTTTAAATCTTCTTTTCTTAATATAAGCATGAAAAACCATAAATATATTTCTTTCTAAGCATTGTTTTAACTACAGGCTGTAATACTTTTATCTGTTTTTACTAGTTTCTGATATGATTTTTTTGATTCACAAGTAATACAGAAGTTTGAAATTTTTCTGACTGTATTGAGTTTTCTAAAAGTTTGTTGCTGTCAATTTCCCACCACATTGTGTTCAGAGAACACAATCTATGTGATATTGATCCTTTGGTTAAGGCTTGGTTTATGGTCCAGTATGTAAAAATTACCCCTTATAAATATGATATGTGCTTAAAAATATTGTATATTTTCTAATTGTTGGGTGCAGGATTCTAGAGTTGATCATCACATTAAAGATGTTAATTGGATTGTTTAAATCTATATCCTTATTAATTTTCTGCTTGATTGATCAGCTTCTGAGAGAGGTGGATGAAAATCTCCAATAGTAACTGTGGATTTGCCATTTTTTTCTTGTAAGTCTGTCAAATTTTGCTTTGTTACGAGTTTAGACTTTCAAAAATCTTTTTGCAGGCTATTCCTATAACTAGTCTAATTCCAAGTTCATTTTGATTCCTTGGATCCAAATTTTGGAGAGTCCTTGGATGGAAGTATGGTCCTGGGGAGACCTTAGGGTGACTTTCATATCTGAGTATAATGTACTATACTTTATCTGTAGTCATTATATTTGTATAACCTTGTTTTTAATGATGTACTTGACCTTGATTACTGTATGTAAAAGGAGTCAAGGGTCAGTTGAGCTTTCAGAAGGTTTGAGCGAGATTTAACCTGCAGCAGTGGCTTCCCTGGTGGCTTAGACAGTAAACAATCTGCCTGCAATGCAGGAGACCTGAGTTCCATCCCTGGGTCGGGAAGGTACCCTAGAGAAGGGAACAGCAAACCACACCAGTATTCTTGCCTGGAGAATTCCATGGACAAAGGAGCCTGGCAGGCTACATACAGTCCATGGAGTCACATGAGAGTTGGACACGACTGAACAACTAACACAACACTAACCTACAACAGTCTAGTTTAAAATTATCTTTTGCCTTTATGTAAAACTGTGAGTTTTGAACTTCACAGGCCTCCATTTTGTTTTGTTTTTTCTCTCCAAGCTAATTAACAGGATTCTAGAGCTTACTCTTGGGAATGCAAGTCCTCCTAATGAATGATCAATCGTTAGTAAAAGAATCTCAAAAAGATGAGGATATTTTCCCTCTTTCCTTTTAGCTACTTAAAACATACTGTTTTGCATCACAAAGCTATCCCTCTGATAAAGGGATAAATTGAGAACATTTTAAAACCAGCATTTTTATCTCCTGTTCAAAATTTAGACTTGTGTGAAAATGTGTTTTTTTTTTTCTCTCATAATAACTCTCTTAAAAGTTATTTGTGAAAAGCAAATGACAAAACATGAACTTCAGACAATGTTGCTATATCCTATAAAATGTAACCTGTAGCCTTTGCAATGTCTGCCTTGCTTGATAAATTATTACCTACAAGTATCTTTTGGAACTTTCTGGGTGACTCAGATGGTAAAGAATCTATCTGCAACGCAGGAAACCTGGGTTGGATCCATGGGTCGAGAAGTTTCCCTGAAGAAGGGAATGGCAGCCCACCCGAGTATTCTTGCATGGAGAATTCCATGGAGATAGGAGCCTGGTGGGCTACAGTCCATGGGGTTGAAAAGAGTCCAGGACACGACTGAGTGACTAACACAAGTACCTTTTAAATCAACATCTCTATTTTGCAAAAAACACACATATATTTGTATACTTGTACATTTTGTTATTGTTGTTGGTCAGAAAAGAAGATGTGGATTTACCTCTCTTTTCATTCATATAGTCTCATGGATTCCATATTCAAAGACTTTGAGAGATTTTGCTTCATTTAAAGTAATACCTGCTACAACTTCTTTCTATCCTCTTATTTTCAACCTTTTTGTGTCTTTGTGATTTAATTGTGTCTCAATCCATTCTGACATTTTGGTTTTTAACTGGTAGGTGAAACACATTAATATTTATTGTTTATTGACATATTGAAATTATTTTTAACATCTTATTTTGTGCTTTCTATTTACCCTGCTTTGCTTCCTTTTTTTTTTCCTGCCTTCTTTTGAATTGAAAGTTTTCTAGTCCCTTTCTACTGGTTTGGAAATAATACATTTTATTTCTATTATTTTATTTTACTAGAAAACAAATTATTACATATATATTTTATGTGAGTCATTTCCAACTTTATATGTCTACCTATCACTTATCTATCTATATGATTTATAAGTCTATTGTACATGTCAAATATAACCTGTCTTTCGTATTTTCATTTATTTCTCTAAGTTACATTCTAGGTAATTCAAAGAGAATTAATATTCAGAGAATCTTTTTTCTCCTATGTAGAGTCCAAACTCAAACAAATTTCCATGTCTTATCTTTCACACTATATTTTCTCTCTAGGCAGTATCTTTTGAAACAAAAGCCTCATTTATCTGTTAGTGACTCCAAGATATCACATATCCTCACCCCAGAGTCTCTCCTATGAGTTCCAGACCCTCATATCCTACTGACTATTTGAATAATCTAAGGCACCATTTCAAACTCAACTAGTCTAAGGTCAATAACAGAGAAGGCAATGGCACCCCACTCCAGTACTCTTGCCTGGAAAATCCAATGGACAGAGGAGCCTGGTAGGCTGCAGTCCATGGGGTCGCTAGGAGTTGGACACGACTGAGCGACTTCACTTTCACTTTTCACTTTCATGCACTGGAGAAGGAAATGGGAACCCACTCCAGTGTTCTTGCCTGGAGAATCCCAGGGATGGGGGAGCCTGGTGGGCTGCTGTTTATGGGGTCGCACAGAGTCAGACATGACTGAAGTGACTTAGCAGCAGCAGCAGCAGCAAGGTCAATATAATTTATGACCTCAAAATGAGTTCTCTTCTAGTACTTTCTATCTCAGTGATTGGCCTGACTACTCGTAGAGTTGTTCATGGCAGGGATTCGGGAGTCATCTTTGACATCTCTCTTCTTCTCAGTTCTCCATCCAACCCATTACCAACTGTGTCAACTTATCTCTTAAATATCTCTTACATTTACCCACTCTCCCCATCTCTACTGCTTTCAGAATAGTTCAAGCTGCCATCTTCTTTAGCCTGGATTTCTGAAGTTTTGCCACATTCACTCTTTCAACACATTCTCCATATTGAGTGAATATATCCAAATACAAATTGGATCATTTTTCTGCTTGAAACTCTCATTCACTGGCTTCACATTCATGGCTCTTAATATGGTCTGCTTGGCTCTGCTTAACCAGCCACTGCCTACCTCTCGGACTCATTCTCATTCCCTCTCTTCTTTGCATCCTCACTTTCAGTGCTCTGTCTGCCACTTTGTTATTTAAAACCATAGCCTTCCATCTTCCTGCACAGCCTTGGAAGAGGCTGTTTCCTTTTTCTGGAATGCCAGTCTCCCTACCCCAAACTTTATCCAGTCAATACCAAACTTATCCTTAACGTCCTCATTCAAACATTATTTCTTGCATTCTCATCCCTTTTTTCAAAGTCTTTATGTTAGTTTATAACCATACATTCATTACTGCAGTTGTTTGCTTCATGCTGTTTTCTCTACTCAGCTACAAGTTTTGTGAGATCAAGGACCTTGTCTCATTTTTCTCATTATAGTATTGGTGCTGGCATAGTCCGGAACATAGAAAGGGCTTAACAGATATTTTTTAAATGATTATTTAAAAATATAACTAAAAATATACATCTATTCAAAATCCAAAGGGACAGAAGTGGATAGAGTTATGGATAAAACAAGTTACACCTACACGGGAGATCGACTGTATTATTTTCTTTACTTTTCCATATGTTTAATTTTCTATAAAAAAGATTATGCAACTTATAAAAACCAAAATAATTTGAGTATTTGGATAAATGGTGAACTTAATCTTAAAAATCGAATATTGGCTCTGTATGGAATGAATATTTTGTTTAACTAAAAAGAACAAATTATACTGACCTGAAGATATTTCGGTAATGGTTAATTGGACCGCTTAATGCTCCAGGCTGAGAAAAAACATAAATATAAGCTTCAAGATCTTCTGTTGTTAGTCGACATCCTTTTCTTCCAATGCCAGTGCTATGACTAGTAAACAGATGTTTCAAAGCCTGGTAAGTGAGAAAAGAATAAGACTTTACAGCTACTTAACAATAACTAAATATTTGGCTTTTGAAAGAGAATGATGGTCAGTGTGCAATGATTGCTCCCAACGTCTGCTCTAGCCAGGTTGGAGACCTCATTGTTTACAAGCACATTTTATACATTTCTGCCGACTTGGCTTTATTTTTTTATATTCTTCCCTTTAGTCCCCCATGCACACTTCACCTTTTTTTCCCACACTTCACCTTTATGAAAAGTATCCTGTCTTCTTGGTGTCTATTCACATTCTGCTGAGCTAAGTACTCTCTCTATCCTAAAGCCTTCCCTAATATTCCAGCTAACAACTGTTTGTCTGTTTACTGACAATGAATCTACCACCACCCCGTTTGAACTTCTTTTTGACCACAACCTAGAGTAACAAACACATTTTACATCATGATCCAGTTTATAGATCTACATATATATTTCTAAAACAAAAGTTTAAAGAAATAACTCTTATTACAACATGTAGTGATATCTTCAATTGATATCTTCAATTCTTCAATTTAAGAATTCAAATTGCAAGTCACTTTACTGAATTGCAAAACTTATATCATGACTCACAAATGGGTCCCCCCTACAACCTGAAATCTCTATACCGGCATTTCTCAAATCGTGTCTCTTAACTAGCTGAATCAGAATTATTGGGATTCTTTTTAAAAAAAATTATTTTTAATTGGAGAATAATTGCTTTACAATAGTGTGTTGGTTTCCGCCATATAAAAACATGAATCAGCCGTAGGTATATAAATGTCTGCTACCTCTTGAACCTCCCTCCCACTTCCCACCTCATCCCACTGTTCTAGTTTGTCACAGGGCACTGGTTTGAGCTCCCTGAGCCACACAGGGAGATTCCCATACAGCAGGTTCCCACTGGCTATTTGGGATTCTTGTTTAAAATTAGACCCTCAACCCCAAAACATGCTTGCAGAAATATTAAATGACATGTGCAGGAGGTGATTCGTTGCAACATTATTTGTGACAGAAAAAGAATGGAAACAAATATTTATCAGTGGGTGGGGTAGCAGTGGTTGAATAAACTATGGCATAGCCACACAATGGCATGTTAGTGTTTTTAGGACTCTAAGAAAAGATGGAGACACCTGCGGGATATATTGTTAAGTGGCAAAACAAAGCAAGGGTGGAAAATAGTGTTTATATTAATAGTATGTTATCTTTTGTGAAAAAAGGAGAAAACAAATATATGCACATTTGCTTATGTTTTTAATAGAAACAATAAAAAGATGAAACAAAACTAGCCAAAATGGTTTTCTATGGGAGAAAGAAGAAATAGGATGGAGATAGAGAAACGGAGATAAGACTCCTCTGAATGTACATTGTTTTATTAGACTTTTAACGTAAAACTGTATATATGTTTCATATAACATCACAGAAGTTATGTAAAAATCCTGTAGTCTTAAATTTGCTTTGGAAATGTGGATAAGAACTCATAATTTTTTTTCTGTCTAAAAAATATGTATGTCCAAATCCCATCCCATGGAAAGATCTAGAAGCAATGAAAGCTCAGTAACAATTATCACCTAAATCATGGTCTCTAAATACTATATCCTGCTAATAGGAGCCAGAGTTCCTTCAGTAAATGAATGATTCCAGATCTGGAACAGGACATAAATAATGAACTTAGGAGATCAAGGAAGGAAGCTACTACTGACTAAAAGGCTCTTGTGTCCTGGGGACACAGGAGCCAACATGAAGGAGTTCATACTTGTAACAAGCTGGGCATCAAATAGAATAAAGACTGTGATCAGTTGATACATCAGTTCAGTTCAGTTCAGTCACTCAGTTATGTCTGACTTTTTGCGATCCCAGGGACTGTAGCACACCAGGCTTCCCTGTCCATCACCAACTCTGGGAGCTTGCTCAAACTCATGTCCATCGAGTCAGTGATGCCATCCATAGCAAACAGATTTTCAAAAATCATGAACTCATAATGATATGAAAAAAATGTGCATTGGTCATCATTGGGGGTTTCGAGGGCACCAACTCATTACTCTGGGCATTGTTTGTAAAGGGAAATAATGAAGCATTTATCCTGCCATTCTTGTGGGAACTGTATTTCAGAATAATCAAATACGGATGTGGAAAACTCTTCTTTATAGAAGAATTCCAGTTAATAAAAGTGCAAAGAATAATAGAACTAGAAAATCACTATTTTCTAAATGAACCTAGGCAGTGATGATCAAGGTCTGCTAGAATTATTTGGTGAAATGTTGTTAGGCAATTTGGATAGCCTGACAATTTGTAAGCTCACTGGTTAGTATTACCATTACTAAAACTGGAACAACTAGACATTTTGTGCTTCTTTGACATAATGCATTAGGAAATATACAGTACTACCTATAAAATAATTCTTGTCAAGTTAAACCATCAAGCCTCTAGAGCAGTAGCACCTATGAAGGAGGAAAGACAAGGGTTAGCAGAACTAGTTAAATAATACCATGATGAAGGAGTCAGTCAAATCCAGAATATGAACCATTCCTCAGGACATATGAACAAATTTCTTCATAAAAAGACAAAAGTGGTGGTAAAAAGAAAAGAACTGTTAAATGATTTTAAAAGTCTTAACAACCAAATACAATGTTTAGTCCTTATTTGGTTCCTGATTCAAACAAATAAAGTGTATAAAGACAGTTGAGACAGTTAAGAGAATCTGAAGGGCATTAAATGATTTTAAGATGTTGTTCATTTTCTTAGGTTTGAAAATGGCATAGAGTTATGTTTTCTTTTAAAGTCCTCACTGTCAGAAGTATATACAGAATCATTTCCAGGTAAAAATACTATGTTTTTTTTAACCTCCCTAAATACTTAACACCATGTTGGACAAATAAGAAGCAACCAATTAACTGAAGAAATAGATACTACACATGACTCTTGGTGTCACTGTACATGGTACACCAATACCTGCAGGTTTAACTTTGTCTTGGGGTTTTCATTACTCCCAAGGGCTTCCACTTCTACTATTGTCACACTCTCTCATCTGGCATTCATATTCATTTATCTCTGCATGGAATGTTCTCTAGAAAGAGGTATGCCTTTAGGGGCACAGGCTCTCACAAAATTTGAATTAACAGCCAGGCATTCAACCATACAAACAGACTGTAAAAATAAATGTGCATGCCTAGAAATGAAACCTTACAAACATTTATCAAGTTTTAGCATTTGTCTGTTTTTCTTCTTAAAGATGGATTTTAATTTAAAATGTTTTTCATTAATAATAATACATTACTACATTATATTACATTAATACAGTACATTTGTTTGACTTACCTCTTTTTTTTGGCATAGGAGGAGATGCCTAAGACAGTGCATAACACATAACAGATATATAATAAATGATTATTTAAAATCAGAACAACATAAGGAGGACCAGTTTTGTTGGGTTTTTTGTTTGTTTTCAGTGCTTTAGTCTATCTTTGTTTTATTCTTAACTTCCTAATTTGTTATCCTCTTGGGCACCAGTCTTTTCTTACTTTAATTGAGGTATAATTAACATATCATATTATGTTAGTTTCAAGTGTACAACATAATGATTCAATATTTGTATATACTTCAAAATAATCATAAACAATAAGCTCACAGACAATAAGTCTGGTTAACATCCATCACCATATTTGACTTACTTTGAAATCATTTATGGAGAACATAAATTCTGGGAACCATGGTATCTGGAAGAAGTAATAATAGCTGGATTTGAACAGCTGGGCCGGGTGTCGTAAAATATATTCTGAAATTAAAATGCCATGTTAGACCTTATCCAAGTGATATGAATTACTATTGAAGTAACTTCTTTTTAAGACAATTTCACCTTTGAGATGATCCCATAAAAGTATTCACAAATAAGGCTTCTGTATATTTCTCTTTGGAACAATTTCTATGTTCTTATATTTTATTTTGGATACTTTTGATATTTTAAATATTTATAGCACTTTGCATAAAAGGAAAGTTTCACTTCCTGAAGTATGGACTCAAAAGGAATAAGAAAACTCAAACAACACTACCTTTTCTCCAAGGTTATTATCAGTGACTTAACACTTTTCCTAAGGATACATGGGGAAGTAATTGTCTATTGTTGAAAAGATTTTCCTGGCAGGCTGATTTAAATATCTTATTCATTTGGCCTCAACAGAAACTAAAGCATTTCCTTTAAATTCATTCATGTATCTAGAAAAATGCATTCATTTAATGAATTTTTGAATATCTACTATGTGTGAGGGGATTTAGTGTGAACAAGAGAAAAGAGATTCCCATTCACCAGGAACTTACATAATAAATAAGTAATGAATACTTAAAAGATCATTTTAGTTAGCAAAAATACCATAAAGAAAATTAAACATGGCAATCTGATTGAAAGCAATGGTTGGGTGGTGTGGAAGAGGAACTATTATTTAGTAAAGCTGGTGAAATAGGCTTCTCTGGGGATGCAGGAAGAATGTCAAGGAACAGAAAGTAGGTCCTGTGCTTGGCACATTAAAGAAGCAGAAAGAAGGCCAGGTGGCTGGTGTGTAGTGAATGAGGAGGGGAGATGGTATGAGATTAGTCAGAAAGAAAAGCAGAAGCCCAGTTAGGCAAGGCCAGAATGATAATGGATTTAAGTGCTTTGGGAAGACACTGAAGTTTTAACACTAGGGAATAATGTGATCATACATATTAAATATTGGAGAAGGAAATGGCAACCACTCCAGTGTTCTTGCCTGGAGAATTTCACGAACAGAAGAACCTGGTAGGATACAGTCCATGAGGTCGCAAAGAGTTGGACACGACTGAGTGACTAACACACACACACATATTAAATGTGCATACTTGTGTATTGTGTACTAAATTTTCCTCACTATAGAGGTGATTTTTCCCCCCTCATTTCTAATATTGTAACTGTACTCAACATGGTTGGAGTTTTTAAAATTATATTTCTCAGATAAGTAGAGCACTGTTACGTTTACACTTTTTGTAAAGTCATCATTGAGTAAGATTTGCTTAGCCCTGCATTAAGAGATATCAATAACATTAAGGGGGAAATATATTCATATTACTTGAAGACCTCATATTGACCTGACCAGGGTTGAACCTATTATTAATAGTTCCAGATATATTCAAGTATTTTCTTACCGAAACGATCAATTACAGTATGGACAATAGCAGTGCATGCGTTGCTTCAATTGTGTCTGACTCTTTGTGACCCAATAGACTGTAGCCTGCCAGGCTCTTCTGTCCATGGGATTCTCCAAGAATACTGGAGTTGGTTGCCATCCCTCCTTCAGAGGATCTTCCCGACCCAAGGATCGAACCCACATCTCTCGTGTTTCCTGTATTGGCAGGTGGTTCTTTACCATTAGTGCCACCTAGGAAGCTCCCGTATAGCAAGCAGTATCACCAAAATAACATTTACTCTAGGGTCCTGATCAATTGAACAAGCATGCAGCACAATTTCTATTGCCTAATGCAACTGAGAGAAATATGATGAACCTCAGTTTGATATTTGACTCCTAAGCAGTCACACTATTTGCCTTAACCAAGATAGGATAATTGGATATGTATCTAAAATTTAACTTTTATACATATTTATACAATATTTATGTAATCATGTTCCCTTTCTCCTTCACCTTCTCTAATTTTGAAGAAAAAATAAAACTATGTTATTCTGATTTTTTTTTCCTTGGGGGACTACTGCAGACTGTGACAGTACTGAATCTCAGAAAATTTGACAAGAATAGTTAAAGAGGACAAAATTATAACTTATGTCAAAACCAAATAAAAATGTGCCTAGCCATTTTCACAGGTTGTTTTTGTTTGCTTGTTTGTTTTAAATCATTCTTTTAATGATTAAAGTTCTCTTTAAAGTTCTCTATAAAGTTCTCTTTATAGCAGAGGTTCCGAAGCATATCCCATGTGGACCTGTGGGGATCCTTAAGACCCTTTCAAAAGATCCAGGTGGTCAAACTATTTCAATACAGTACTATGAGTTTTTCTTATTTTGTTGACATTTGCACATATGGTACAAAGGCAATAGGAGATAAAGCTGTTGTTGCCTGACCACAAATCAAAGCTGTGGCACTAAACAATACCACCCTGTTTATAATACATCGTATTGTTCACACCACACACTTGCTGTAAATAAATACATAAAATCAAGTGGCAGTTTCACTTTTGAATGTGTTTGATAAAACAGCAAAAATTATTAATTTTATTAAATTTCTACCCTTTGTATGTGTCTTGTGATGCAGTTAGAAAATATATATTAAGGCAGTTCTGTTGAACACCAAAATCAATGATTATCTAGAGAAAAAGCAATTCTTCAGCTGTTGAGTTAGCTGCCTTTTTAATAAAATATCATTTTTACTTGGGAGAATGACTAACAAACTGTCATCAGTCAGACTTGGGTATTTAGCAGATAGTCTCCTGAAAATGAACAAAGCAAGCCTGTCACTTGAGGGAAAACAGTGTCTGTTGTCAATTATCAAGTTCAAGCTTTCAAATGAAAATCAGAATTTTGGAAACTTGTGTCTGCTACTGTGAGCTTGACAGCTTTTCTATAAAGACTTTTTTGATGAAACTGGGGTGATATTAATGAAAGTGATTCTTTGATATCATATAATGAAATGTGTCAATTTATGGAAGACCTGCATAACTCAATGACCCAATATCTTTCAATGCATGATGACTGCAAAATCATGCATAGGTAAAAAAAATCCATTCAAAGGGCTACAGAGACCAATGGATTTTAATGTGACAGAATATGAAAACTTCATTAATATGACTTCAGATTGCACATTGTTACTAACCTTTAAGAAATCACCAATTTTTGAGTTTGGTGTAGTATTTAAGGAGAATATCCACACTTATTTGAAAAGGTTATTAAAATACTCCTCCCTTTTCCAATTATAAATCTGTGTGAGGCCAGATTTCTTCATATACTTCAATTCAAACATTTGCAACAGATTGAATGGAGAAGCAGATCTGAGAATCCAGCTGTCTTCTATTAAGCCAAAAATTAAAGAGGTTTGAAAAAATGTAAAATAATGACCCTTTTCACTAAAATTTTGTTTTGGAAGATGTAGTTAGTTTTCAGTAAAATGTTATGCATGTTAATATGTACTGGATTAATTATTTTTTAATGAATGAATACATAAACATTTAGAAATTCCTCATTTTTAATTTCCAACACAGTCAATGCATATGGGTATAACTCATATAAAGAAATGCTCAGTGGCATCTTCAATAATTTTTAAAAGTATAAAGGAGACCAAAAATTTGAGAACTGCTGCTTTAAAGAATGCTGCCATTCTTGATATTCAAAGCAGTCAAGCACGAGGAAAATTTATTTCTAGGCTGTCAAGATTCTTTACTGTCAAAGTAATGTTACTGCATTTTTCCTTTAACTCTCCCCAAGTTAGCAGTAAAATGTCTTATAAAAAAATAAGATTGTGCAAGCAAATATAAAGCTACACTTCCTTTGCCTCCTCAGGAACATTTAAAGCCAAGATAACTGATACTATTGTGTGCTAATATCATATTTTAATCACTTAATTTAAAAAAATATTACATTAATTGACTTTTACTGTTTTTAATCCAAAGTGTCAGTGACAACAGTGAGTTGTCATGCTATCAAAGATGTCTTAATGGAAATTTAAACTCACCTGTAAATACATTTGGATGAGGGAAGTTAATAACAATAAGCTTTATCACCATTTCTGGATAACAGATGGCAATTAACCAAGCAATCATGCCTCCCCAGTCATGGCCAATAAGAACACATTTGCTATACCCTGTAATTGAGAAATGAATGTTGACATCATTGAAAAGAAACAAGTGGGTGCATCTTTACCACATATATACTAGATATGTTTCTAAAACTAACCATAATTATGTACTTTCTCCAGATACTGAGTTTGGTATTTCCAAAATCTGTATGTCTGAAGCTACTAGTGTAGTTTTTTCCAAAAATTTACATGCTCAGGTCCATTATAGACCTAAAGATTCAGAACCTCTCTTGGGAACTTAGAGAAAAAATCTGAAATAGTTCAGCTCTGGTTACATAAACCTGAGTTTGGAAAACCATGGTAAACACTACACATACCTAGGTCATAAGCGAGATTACATTATTGATTTCACTAGAAAATTGCATGATGACAAAATCAGGCCAAGTCTGACTGAATTACCACAAAATATGAATGATATATGGGTGTTGGAAATCAGTGTCTCTGATTTTATTGTAATCACACTAAATTACAGTGCTGCATTGACACCCCCAGACTGCATCCATTTTTTCTCCTCTAAAAATCTTGACCTGATCTATGCTCTCATTAGACTGTTGTAGAAATGGATCATTGATTTCATGGGTTTCTCACTATACCAGATCTGTAAACACACTGGGTTTTAGTCAAAAGGGATGTAGTGGATTAGATTATTACTAAAAAATATTTACTCCTTATTCCTCTTTTCCCGGTGCATAGAGGCAGTATACTTTACCACCAAGCACCAACCCCCCCCCCCTCCATTTTTGGTCTGAGGCATGCAGGATCTTAGCTCCCCAAGCAGGGATAGAACCCATGCTTCCTACAGTGGAAGCATGGAGTCTTAACCACTGGACCCCCAGGGAAGTTTCTTTACTATCCATTTCATGTTAGATTTGGCAGTGTGATGTGCTTTGGTTTCTTGGTGGCTGTATGACTTGATTTGGGGCTCGGTCATGTGACTTGCTTTGAACAATGAGCAGTGACCAGAAACTTGAAATGTTTTGCTATGGGGCTCATCCTCTTGCCACTTCAGTCACAGCGAGAAGAGCTTCCCCTAGGTAGCTTCTCTCCTTTAGCTGGGGCCGCAACCCAATTCACACTGACAAGTCAATCCTAGCTGGACCTATGGCCTGAGGCTAAGACCCAGAAGGATTCAGCCTAAGGTGGACCTGCAGATCCAGCAAAGGAATGAATGCCTTTGACTGTATGTCACTGAGATTGGGGTGGTTTGTTACACAATATTATTGTGGCACCAACTGATCAATAAAAAATAATGCAAGTGTTTCTGCATCTAACAATATGTTTAAATGAATATTTAAGTGTGGGATCTGAAGAAATAAACTTTCTGAGAACAAGAATAAAATTTCTAATAATTAGTTCTGAAAATAATAAATAGTATACATTAAGTCAATTTTTAAAAACAAATTTTGAGAGTCACTCTTGGCTGGTAACTGAATAGTTATTCTGTTATTATTTTAAATTTCTTCTACAGATATTTTGAGTTGTATAAACCAAATGACAGGATCCAGATAACAGCTCAGGTAAATGGAAAGCAGCCTCCCAATAAATGAGGTTATCAATTCACAATTTTTTGAATGTTGGTCCATTAAAAAGAATTAATACTATTTTTTAAAACCTACCTAAAGAGTCTAAAATATCCTTTACATCTGTAATTAGACAGTCCAATTTATAATTCTCTCGATGAACAGGAGCATCTGTTTCTCCATAACCTCTCAAATCCAGTGCTACAACTCTATATTCACTTTTAAATTCCCTTAGTTGGTGACGCCAAGAATACCTGCAGAAAATAAGATATGTTAAAAATACCACAGTAACGAATATAAAGAATACCATTACAGATTGTCTAAGTGGAAAACTGTAAGTAACTTCTAATTTTTGAGAAAGGTTATGTAGCCATGTGTGGGCAGGAAAGAAAAAACCTGTTTGAAAAGAAAGCACTCACATTATTAAAATTGACTTTTTTTTTTTTTTTTACCAGCTTCAGTGGGAATGTAACAAAAGGGCCAGGATTTACTGAAACTACAAAATACCAGATACTAAAACCTTAAGAAATGTACCTAAGGAGTCAATTTTCTAAGCTTTGCTTAAATAATGCTTACCTCTATCACTTAGTCTGTGCCTATAAGTGCTTCTGTATATTGTACTATTTGATTCTTTCAAAAAACTTGCAAGATGAAAATGTATTTTCCTAGAAGGGGGATTTTACTCAGCTTGCTACATGTCAATAGTACTCAGTGTTTTCATGCCTAGCAACAGTTACTCATGGATGAAAAAATCTGCTGATTTTTAAAAAGATGATAATGGAAAGAATCCAATAAAACAACTACTTAAGATAAATCTCTGAGACATCCCTGGAGAGCCAGTGGTAAACAAGAAAGGGTGCTCGGGACTGGTGCACTGGGATGATCCTGAGGGATGGGATGGGGAGGCAGATGGGAGTTCAGGATGGGGAACACATGTACACCTGTGGTGGATTCATGTCAATGTATGGTAAAAACCACTACAATATTGTAAAGTAATTAGCCTCCAATTAAAATAAATAAATTCATATTAACAAAAATCTGCCTGTCAGTGCCGGAGACACAGGTTCAATCCTTGGTCTGGGGAGATTCCACATCCTGAGGGGCAACTAAGCCCAGGTTCCCCAATAAGAGAAGCCACCACAATGAGAGGCCCCAACACCACAACTAGAGAGCAGCCCCCATTCAGAGCAACTAAAGAAAGCCTACACGTGGCAATGAAGACACAGCGCAGCTGAAAATAAATAAATAAATAAAATTTAAAGGAAAGAATAAAAATAAACCTCTGCTTGCTAAAACAAAATTCTTCTGAGGATAAGATCCTGAACTATAAAGACAAGCAAGTGTGTGGTTAAAACATTTAACAACCAAAATGGCCCAGGCATTGATCAGTTAGAATGGCCACAGTGACAGCCAGGCCCTGGAAGCTTGCTAGACCAGGTGTTCCCCCTATGCTTGATAATGAAACTGCAGAATTAACTGAAATACAGAGCTCCATGAGAGTTCCTTCGTCTAAGGAGCAAAATCATTATGGATAACAAACAGAAAAAGAGACTCGGATTTTTCAAAGTGACTCTCTGTGTTACAGAACTCAAATTATGCATTAAAAGCATCTGCATGCACATCTGTTCATGGAAACACAGTATAAAATTATCTGACAAAGCCAAATGGTAGACCATTGTCTGGAAAGATTTTTGGAGCACAATAGGAACGTGAACAGAGTGATCTGAGATTATAAACCAATAATGAAGGGAGACTGCAATGTAAAATAACACAAAGCAATGAGAAGAAAGAAAAAAATCGACCACTTTACATCAACAGCTAGATTATCAGGAAAGGTGTCAGACACACAATCGGATTTATGAATGGATAGAGTCTTTGGTCTATTACTAGGATATCTATGATTTGTGAAAATCTGCAAAAGCACTGCCAATGAATATGGATTTGAAAACTTTAACAAAAGTGTCTTTCTTAACAATCTTGATAATCTTCTCTCTGGGTTGTAATAAACAAAAGAAGCAGTTTGATTCCTTAAAAGATACTCATCTGTCAACACATGTGATTTTAATTTTTCAAGTTGTTGTTCAGTTGCCCAGTCTTGTCTGATGCTTTGTGACCCCATGGACTGCGGCACACCAGGCTTCCCTGTCCCTCACCATCTCCAAGAGTTTGTACTCCCAGTCTCCTGCATTGCTCTGGCTGCATGGGCCGGGAATCGAACCTGGGCCTCCCATGTGGCCGACGAGAATTATACCACTGAACCACTCATGCACCTATTTTCTCATAGCCTTACTTAATATTTTGAATTGATTTTTTTATGTCTTTGTAACTGAAGCCTAATTCTTCTTTATAATCCTTCATATCCAATCAATAAACTTCAGTAAATTTAACCTCTTATATATTAATATTTACTTAATCACTTTTCCTATCCATCCCTGATATCATTACCTTCATTCAGGCATCCATTTATGCAGCGCCATCAATTGGTCTAATTGTGTCTGTTTCATTCCCCTTGGCTCTATCTTCTATAAAACCAGAGTGATGTAATAAAAACACAAGCTGTTTCTTGACTCTCTTGTTACTCACAACGTGAAGCCCAAGCAGGTCATTTTGGCAGATAAAACCAATAAGATTTGACCTTCCTAATCTTCCAGCTTGACTACCTTATACCCTCTATCATTTGCTATATAATAAAAAAGGGCTAACATCTATATCTGTCTTATTACATGCCCAGGCACAATTCTAAGTGCTTCACATATAGTGATGCTGATCTTCAAAACAGAAGTATAAAGTAAGTACTATTATAATCCCTGTTTTACAGATGAAGAAACCAAGGTACAGATTGGTTTGTGGATGTGCTGAAAGTCACAGAGTTAGCAAATAGCAGAGTCAGGATCCAAACCCAGGTGGTCTGCTCTGGCCTGAGAACCCATGCTATGCTGCCCCTGCAGCACTTACCTGCTTGCGGTGAATAAACATGGGTCTTGTTTTTATGACTTTGTTTACATAATTTCCTTTTTCTGAAACATCATCCCTCCTCAGCATTTCCCCACTCCCCACAGCCCCTGTCCTTCACCCATCACTGAACTCCTCATGCTGGGCATCTTCTCTTCTAGGAGACTTCCCAGGTTCCCTCCTTCACAGGTGGGTTGGGTGGCCCCTTCCATATTCTTCCATTTGTCTGCACACTCTTCAGTGTACTGTGCATGTGCTTTATACTAATCTGTGGGTGCCTGGCATTTCCACTTGACTGTGAGCTCCTTGAACTGTCTGGCAGATGTGAAGGTGCTCAATAAAGATTTGTTGACTGAGTGGAACAACGGAAAAACGAAAGCACTGAATTATGATAGTGCTAGAAATACCAGTTGTTCAGTAAAACTCTGTCCCAGTTCAAACCTTGAGACAACTCTGAACTAAAGTTCCCAGATTCCTCTTGGGGAATTTATATTCAATTTCTACTCATGCAATTCTGTGCATTGTTTTAATATCCTAAGTAGCTGTGTCTTCATTTAGAATTCATTTGAGTAGAGATGTCAAGGTAGAAATTTGACTCAAAATAATGTGTACAATCCTATAGCATTTTACATTTAATATAAATATAATACCTGCATATGTCATTATGTTATTAATAATTTAAATTGCCTTCCAAATAAATCCAAGTATTTCTATTATCAATGAGTGGAGCCAAACAATATCTTAAACATTTCTAGGAATATTTAAAGGCTGCAACTGCTATCTTAATAAATGACAAAATACTTTTTAAATGTAATCTTCCTAGAGTTCATCAATAAAGCATATTTGATTTACACATTAAACTGAAAAAGAAATCACCCCAGTGATAGACTGATGAGCATGTCATTCACATGAATAAAACAAAATAACCCCCTTGAGACAAAAATGAAACATAAAATCAGTAACTCCTGAAAATATTATAAATAAACAAAACTAGCTACTTTCATCCACACTGTCCCCCTCCTCCCCCACCCAGTTGCTTTGTTGTGGTTTAGTCGCTCAGTCCTGTCTGACTCTTTGCTAACCCATGGACTGTAGCCCACCAGGCTCCTCTGTCCATGGAATTTCCCAAGCAAAAATACTGGAGTGGGTTGCCATTTCTGTCTCCAGGGGATCTAACCCGAGTCTCCTGCACTGCAGGCAGAGTCTTTACCACTGAGTCACCTGGGAAGCTGCGGCAAAGGGCACTTCAGAAAAAGCAACTTCTTTCTTAGTTATTCTTAACACAAGGAGGGCTCCGAGTTTACCAGGCTAGCCTCTTTCAGATGCAGAATATCCTCTTCCCTTTTACAATGGAGAAAAAGCCACAGTCATCAGGCTCCGTGCTCAGCTGTATGCATGAAGAGCCCTTACTTGCCTCAGCACTTGAGTAATGACGAGTGTGTCCCATACAGCTGGTGTTATTGCCAGAAACTGCCTGCATCAGCTCAAAATATTTTTAAAAGCAATGCAAATTGAGGTGGAGATAGAGGGGGAGAAAATCATCTGTGACAGCCTTATTTGGCACTAATTTAGCTAAAGGATTCATAGATCTGTATTGTTTGATGTTTCCTCTATATTTTAAGAAGACCCAGAATTTTATTGTTTCTGTATAACATCTAATAGTATATATTAAACATCACCAATTCTCAACAACTATTCTTAATGATGATGAATGCATATAATACCTTATATTTGTATAATGATTTTCTGATTAAAAAGCATTTTTACACACATTGCCAGTTTATGATTATTTTGTTTTCACTGTATCAAATAATGTGACCTACTTGATCTACAATATTATAAACTCATGTGCATTTAGGCAAAACTTGATTAATAAAGGGATATTTAATGGGCAACATAAATTGAAATTGGTTCAAAATGCCAAAGCTTTTTGGCTCTTAAAAAAAAAAAGGAGGGCCTCCCAGGTGGCTCAGGGGTAAAGAATCTGCCTGCCCATGTCGGAGTCCCCGGAGACTCTCTGGGTTAGGAGGATTCCCTGAAGGAGAAAATGACAACAAACTCCAGTATTCCTGACTGCAGAACTCCACGGACAGAGGAGCCTGGTGCGCTACAGTCCAGAGGGTTGCAAAGAGTTGAACCCGACTGAGAGATTGAGCACGCAAGCATAAAAGGGGAAAAGTGCAAGAGAAAGGGCTTTTGGGAACAGAAAAAGGAAAGTCTAAGAAAGATTTGAAGTGGTTTAATCAAAACAGCGTATCCTAAATTCTGATTTGAACTGACTTTTTCCTGAATGGAGCTCATGAATGGAATTGACTAGATTGCATAACAAGTAACAGTGGTAATTTGGAAGGGAAGACAAAATGTCAACATAGAGGTCTCGGTTTAGGGTATGACTTACACAAACAGAAGTCTCAGCAACTAAGCGGCTGAGCCAGAATTCACTGCCCATATTACTTTATGCAGATTTGATGAATACTTTAGACTAACATTTTATTTGTAAGCCAGTCATGTCATAGGGTCTTCCCAGGTGGTGCCAGTGGTAAAGAACCTGTCCGCTAATGCAGGAGATGGAAGAGACAAAGGTTCTGTCTCTGCGTCAGGAAGATCCCCTGGAGAAGGGCAGGGCAACCCACTCCAGTATTCCTGCCTAGAGAATCCCATGGACAGAGGAGCCTGGCGGGCTACCATCCATGAGGTTGCAAACAGTCAGACACGACTGAAGCGACTTAGCATGCATGCATGTCATAGACTTTTTGCTCTAGAAAAATGATGAGCTAGGTGGGTTTTTGCCCTCCTCCATTCTCTTCTTCAATGCCTAACACTTCCTAGTGCACTAGCAATCTCAAAGCATTTATTAATAAAGGCCCTTTTACTCTAAAAGTATTAACTAAATACTCTTTCAGAGCTAGATGCATTTTAAATTAGGAATTTGGATGACACAAATCTTTAAAATTCTAAAGGAAGTGAGGAATATGTAATGTGGAATTCTAGGTGTTAAGAGCAAAAGTAAAGGAGAAATTTGGGGACAGGGCATTGTCCTAGAACTTTAAAAACATACCACACATTCTACATTTAAGTAAGTTTAAAGAATATAATTTTTAGGTCCATTCTTCCATTTCAAGATTATAACCCTGAGCTAGCAAAAATCTGATTTTCTTTTTACCACCTTAATATGTACCATCTTTTAAAAGATATTCATTTTTTAAAAGTTTCATCATGTGCTGTTTCATCTGTACTTATTTGGTTCTGTGGGGTCCAAAGGGGAACAGAGTATTTTCCCGTAGGTAACTAGCAATTTTGGCTATAGGTTTTCTTCTCCACATGAAATATTCTGATCCTTAATTTGTCCTGAATTCATCTGAGCCTATTACTATGTGCATAGGAAAGAGTCCTTTTCCAGTTTCCATGAGCCCTCTTCTCCTCCTGCCTTTGCCTCACCCAAGCCTTACCAAAGGCTGCCAGGTAACAGGCACTCTAATTCTATGGTTTCTTTCAAATCTTCTTTACCACCCAGTGTTGCATTTTGTCCACAGTTCAGTTCAGTCGCTCAGTGGTATCCGACTCTTTGCAACCCATGGACTGCAGTATGCCAGGCTTCCCTGTCCATCACTATCTCCCGGAGCTTGTTCAAACTCAGGTCCATCAGTAGGTACTATAAAAACTGGTTTATGATTGCCAAGGGGGGAAAACAGGGAGAAGGGATAGTCAGGGAGTTTGGGATCAATATGTACACACTGCTGTACTAATTTAGTCTTTAACAATATTGTGATAGTTGCAGGTGAAAAATGAAGGGACTCAGTCATACATATACGTGTATTCATTCTTCCCTAAATTCCCCTCCTATCCAGGCTGCCACACAACATTGAGCCACACTGCCATATTTAAAATAGAAAACTAACAAAGTCCTACTGTATAGCACAGGGAACTCTGCTCAATGTTATGCGGCAGCCTGGATGGGAGAGGAGTTTGGGTGAGAATGGATGCATGTGTATGTATAGTTGGGTCTCTGCTGTCCACCTGAAGCTATCACAACATTGTTAACTGGCTATATTACAATATAAAATAAAAAGTTAAAAACTGTCTTTCAATTGACTATTTCAAAAACTTGAAACACTAAATGATACTTGTTTTAATTCTCAAAAATAAATAAATTTAGGATAACAATATGCACGTTTCTTTAAAACAGAAGGAATATCATTCTTGTGACTGAGGAACACTTAGGAGTAATAACTCTAGGCCAGCGCTTGATCATAGCATGGGGTCTATTAAAAATCGCTACAAGAAAATGACACTATGGTAAGCCAAATCTTTAGTGCAAAAGAAAAAGTTACTGTTAAGTTTACCAGAATTCTGGAAATCCATGAAGCAGCAGCAGAAGTGGTTTGCCTCTTTCTCCAGCAGCAACATAATGAAATCTTAACCCCGAATCCTGCAGTAGGAAATAGAGTGCATGAGATTTCAGTGACGCTTTGTGTTGACTGTAAAAGTACAATTAGCATTTCCATTCCACTAAAAAATTTCACTTGCATTATTTTTAATATCAAGAGATAAAGTAAATATCATTAATTTTCAGAAAGAAAAAATAACCATTGTTTATCAGCAGGGTAAATTAACAGATTCGCTTTTGTTGACATTCCCTTCTACTTACAAGGTCAATTTATCTATATTATGAGCTTCTGAAAGTTATAATTTTCTTACTGATGTGTCACACTTCATCTCACTCATATTCTGCAAGACAAGTAAATAATTCTGATCTGCATTTATATTCCTGCCATTATTTACCTCCTAGTCATATACTTTTCTCAGCTTGCCCGTCAAGAGCTGTGCCATCAGTTATATAATTCACACCTCCTTTCCTTATTTTTAGTTCTCTCCCTCCCACATTATTTTCAGTTCAGAGTTGCATGCACAGTTCCCCTGGCTGCCTGCTCCTCACGTCATGTCAGTGTATGTCTAATAGCCGAATGCTCTGAGTGCTCAAACCTTTGCTCTGCATATGGGAGACAAGATTGCCCAAGGGAAACAAAAATCATAGAAATGAGAAAAATCACAGAAATATAGCAAACACAAAGCAAATAGAAGAAAGGAAGGTGGAGCAAGAAAGAAACAAAAAAACTCAGAAGGAAGTGAGGTAAAAAAACAAGAACCAAAACCCAGAGACTGACCAGGTTTTACATCAGATAGCCCAAGTAATTGGGTTTCCAGATGTGAAAAAAAATCTTAAAGCTCATCTAGTTCAACCCTATCATTTTTGCAGAGTTAGAAACTAAAGTCCAAAGATGTTACTACAGGTGATTAAGATGGTTGGAAGCAGGACTGTGGCTAGAACCTCCATCTTGTCCTACTGCCCAGGACAATACTCTTTCTATTCCTTGGTTCTAGGTCTCTGCGGAAACTCTTTAAGTGGCCAGAGTCAGAACAGAGTCATTGTGATGAATTCTGAATGATTCTTAAACTGATTTTCCCCCTCAGGTAGGATGAACATAACAACTCTGACTTCTACCCTCTACTGCAGAATGCCTTCCTGGAAGTTCAGTAACTTCTTTTACTGGTAGTGAGTCTCAGAAGATGAAAGACTGTAGGAACTTGATTGGATTTAGTGAATAAATATTTCATTTCATTTTACTATGTACCAGGCACTGTTATAAGATTTTTGGTTTTAGCTTATTTGTTTTTTGCAAATATTAATTCATTTAATTCTCATGTTAACTGCAGGGTAAAAAGGACATGCCCCTCCGTGGTCTGAACTCCAGCTGCAGGGCAATCTAGCTCCTAACAGGAACCCCAGACCTGGTGACAAAAATATCCCTTCATGGAGGCTATTTTTGAAAGGCCTGTGAGTCAGATTTGTAGGGTGCATCACAAAAAGCCATCTCCCTTCACCACCTGGAGCCTCAGGAAATAGAATAATCGTGGGCTGTAAGAAAGCTTGGGACAAGCATGGACAATTAGAGTCTGCATGAAGAGCTGACATTTACTTTTTGTGCCATTCCTTTGGTCTCTGGCATCATAGCACTGCTTCCTTCTCCACAAACATGCACCATTTATTTATTGTTTGATGTTGCTTAGGTCATCTGTGAATGCTCCATTCTGCTGATCTGAATAAACTCCTGATTTGCAATGGCTTATTCTACTTACTGTTCCAATCTCTAACATTTGGGCAAGGACCATCTCCTGAGACAGTAGGGCGCCACCAGAAACAATTCCCTACAGCTTATCTGAGCTCTAAAGGGCAAAAAGGTGACAGACGACCGCTTCCCCTGACAGTTGGAGAAGGCTGTTGCGGTGGAGAAGTAGGGGACAGTAACAGGACCCAGATTATTAGACTCTCTCACACGCACGCAAGGGCCATAACGACACACACACCCCCCTGACCCTCTCCCGTGGCGCCTCGCCCCTCTAGCACCCCCCGGGCATCATCTCGGTCCCTGCAGCGCGCCCTGCTAGCCCCGAGAACGCTGGGGGCCGCTGGGCTGGGCGTCATGCGATCAGCCCGGCGGCCTCCGCTGTCACGGCCGTCACGTTCCCTCGCGATAACGCCGGGCCCACGCCCGCCTTCACCTTGATCCTCACGTAGCAGTGGGTACCCAGAGAGGGGTCGTTCAAGCACGCGGGCGGGTGTTCCCTGGCGACCCGCCGGAAGGTCTGCGTGGGTCCCTTGCCGATGCTCCACAAAAGTTTGAGCAGGTAGATGGAGGCGCAGAGCCCGCAGTAGAAGTAGATCAGGCACCAGAAGAGCAGGGACCGGATCGTGACCATCAGGCGGGGCAGGCAATCCCGCAGCTTCGCCATCGGGCGGCGGCAGCGGCGCGGCCCGCAACGCAACGCAACGCTTCCGAGGCGCGGGGAAGCAGCGGCGCGCACTCTGGAGCCGGAGCGAGACTGCGAGCGCGGCGGCGCGTCAGACCCGCCAGCCGGTCGGCGGCCGCCTGCTCCGCGCACGCCTCCCCGCGGGTCCCCGCGCTGCAGCGCCCGGCTCGGGTCCGTTGTCACAGCCCCGGGCTACCACACTCCCCGTGAGCGCTCGGGACGGCCGCGCCCAGCCCCGGAGCGGCGCTCCGCGGACCCCAAGCGCTGCGAGGTCCGCACCGGATAGGCAAGGGTGGAGAGCCGGCCTTCCTCCCCAGGGAGTAAAGCCCCATTTCAAAACTGATAAACTGGGGGAAATGAAGGTGAGACTTTCCCAAGCCATCCTAGATACTGAGGGAGGAAGAGCCATTCATTTTGGCCCGTGTTCATATCCTCTCCTTGCCCCCCAATTTAAGGCCTTCTTTCTGGATCGTGGAATTATGGGGCGCATGGGGGAGGGGGAGCAGTAAACAATTTTCATACCACACGAAAGACATTTCTTTATTCATTCCCAAAGCTCATCTGAAGGTGTTGCTATTCTCCAACTAGGTTCTGAGTCGTTATCCGACGAGCTAGGTGTCTGGTTATAAAGTCAAGCCCTGGCAACCCCTGGTCTTTTTTCTGTCCCTCTGGGTTTTTCCTTTACAAGAAGATTGTGTAAATAGAATCATGTAATAGTCAACTTCTAGCTTCTGGCTTCTCTCGTTTAGCGTGATGTATCTGAGACTCAACTATACTGTTACATATATTGTTTTATTATTATTAGTCTTTTGTTAGATGAATGTACCATATTTGCTTACGGAACACTTCACAGTTGAGGTATATTTGAGTTTTTTCCCAGTTTTTGGTGGTTATGAATAAAGTCACTATGTCAAGTTTTTGGTGGGAACGTGTAAGTTTTCATTTCACTTGGCTTAACACTTAGAAGTGGGATTGCTGGGTCAGGTAGGTATGCATTTAACTTTATAGGAAACTATCAAACTGGTTTCCAGAGTGGCTGCAGATTTAATTCACACTAGCAATGTGTGAGAGTTATTGTTAGGTCCTATTCTTGAGAGCACTTAATATTGTTAAAAAAAAAATTTCCTGATTTTAGCCATTCTAAGAGTTGTGTAATGTGGTATCTCATTGACATTTTTATTCACATTTTCCCAATAATAATAATGTTGGGCATCTTTATATACTTGTGTGCCACTTGAATATATTATTCTTTGACAAAACAGCTGTCCAAATCTTTTACAGATTTTTTAGAAAAGTGGGTTGCTTATTTTCTTACTGAGTTTGAAAGTTCCTTATGTATTTTGGATACAAATGCTTTATCACACATCATGTGATTTGCAAATATTTTCCCAGTCTGTCTTTTCATTTTTAAGGACTTCTGAAGAGCACAATTTCTTAATTTTGATTTTATCCAATTTATCACTTTTCTTTTATATGTAGTAGTTTTGGTCTTGCATATGGGAAATCTCTACCTAAGTTCAGCAAGTGACCCCCAACCTGTGTTTCCTTCTAAAAGAATTATTTTATGTTTTGTATTTAGGCCTATAATCCATTTTGAGTTAATTTTTGCATAAGATGCAAAGTATGGGTTGACATTGATGTTTCCCATGTGGATATCCAATTATTTTGGTATCATTTGTTGAAAAGAATATTCTTCCTCTATTGAATTGCCTTTGCACCTCTATTGAAAATCACTTTACATGTGGGACTATATTTGAACCCTCTAGTCTGTTTCATTGATCTATATGCCTATATTTTCTGCAGTATACACTTGCCTTTTTTGTGGCTGTGCCATGAGCGATGCAGGGTTTTAGTTCCCTGGTCTGTGCCTCCTGCATTGGGGGACAGGTGTCTTAACCACTGGATTGGCAGGGAAATCCCAATACATACTTGTCATGACTATCGAAAGTAGTAAAGTAATATAGTAAATCTACAACTCATGTAGTTATGAGTCCTTCAACTTTGTTCTTCTTTATCAAAATAAAGATTGTTTTGGCTATTGTAGTTACTTTTCCATATAAATTTTAGTATTAGCTTGTCAATTTTGACAAAAATTGTTGATTGGAATCCACTGAATCTGTTAATCAATTTTGAGAGAACTAATATTTTAACAATATTGAGTTATTCAGAACATTGTTGTTCAGTTGCTAAGTCATGTCCGACTCTTTGCAACCTCAGGGACTGCAGCTCACTGGGATTCTCATGAACATACGTCTCTCCAGTTAGTTAGAGTCTTCTTTGATTTGCTTTATCAGTTTTTCATAGCTTTAAACATACAGATACTGTATGTATTTTGTAAGATTTATACCTAAGTATATCTTAAAAAAAATATATTGTAAATGTTATTTTTTCAATTTCTAGTTACTTACTAATTCTAGGTGCTTACATGATTTTTTTTTGTCTCAGGTCCTGGACCTTGTTAAATTTACTTTTTAGTGCTGGTAGCTTTTTGAAAAATTCTTTGGGATGTTCTATATAGATAATCATGTCATTTGTGAATAGAGACAGTTTTATTTCTTCCTTTCCAATATGTTTGCCATTTATTTTTCTTCACTTATTGCACTAACTAGGACCTCCAGTTAATCTTTACTTTGTTCTCAGCCGTAAGGGGAAACCATGCAGTCATTTACTATTAAGCATATGATTAGCTCAAGTTTTTTTTTCTTCCATGCTGCACAGTTTTTGGGATCATAGTCCTGGGTCCAGAGGTTGAACCTGCACCCTTAGCAGTGAAAGCAGGGAGTCCTAACCACTGGACCACCAGTGAATTCCCTGAAGATTTTTTTTTTTAAGGTGCAGTTTATCATATTGATGAAGTTCCTTTTTATTTTTAGTTTCTGAGAGGTTTTTTTTTTCTTCTCCCCACAAATGGGGGAATTTTGTAAAAGGGCTTTCTATTTCTCTGGAGATAATCATAGTTTTTCCTTTTTAATCTACTGATGTGGTTACCTATAAATTTTTGAATGTTGGACCAGCCTTTCATTCCCAGGATAAATCCCAATTGATCATGAAATAATGTATTTTTAATATATTACTGAAATCAATTTGCTAATATTTGGTTGATGATTTTTGCATCTATATTTGTTCTTATATTATGGAATAATGTATATAAAATTGGTAGTATTTGTTCCTTAAATGTTTGGTAGAATTCTCCAAAAAAGCATGTAGGCCTGGAGTTGTTATTATTGTTTAAATTCTTTTTTAAAGATTTTAAAATACAATTCAATTTACTTAGTACTTATAGAACTATTCATGATTATTTCCTCTTTGACAGTTTGTATTTTTTAAGAATTTTATCCACTTCTTGTAAGTTGTTGAATCTCTGGCCATAGAGTTCTTCATAATATGTCCTTGTTATTTCTTGAATGTCTGCAGATCTGTGTGTGTGTGTGTGTGTGTGTGTGTGTGTGTGTGTGTATCTGTAATATTCTCTTTCACACTTGACATTTGCAATTTGCATTTTCTCATTTTTATATGGTAGGTCTGGATAGAGGGCTTATCAATTTTATTGTCTTTTTTAAAAAAAACAGCTTTGGTTTCCTTGATTTCTCTCTTTTTTTGCTTAAGATTTCATTTAAATGTAAATGATTTCCCTTCTTCCTGTTCTTTCTTCTGCTTTAGATTTAATTTGATTTTTCTAGTTTCTTAAGATAGAAACTTCAGTAACTGATTTGAGATTTTTCTTCTGTTTTAACATAAACACTGAGTGGTAAAAATTTTCCTCTAAATGCCACTTTCACTGCATCCCATAAATTTTAATGTGTTGCATTTTAACTTTCATACAATTCAAAATACTTTCTAATTATTCTTCTGTTTTTTCTCTTTTAAGATGGGTTATTTAGAAAAGCTTAATTTCCAAATATTTTGCAGATATCTTTTTTGTATTAATTTCTACTTTAAATCTGGTGTGATAGCTTATGAACTACCTATTCTTATAAATTTGTCAAGGTTTGCTTTACTCCTCTAAATATAGTCTATTTTGGTGAATGTTCCAACTGCATTTGAAAAGTGTATTCTGCTGTTTTTAGTGAGAGTGTAACATTAATGTCAATTAGTTAAAGATGGTTAGCAGTGTTGTTCAGGACCATTAGATCTTTACTGACTTTCTGCCTACTAGTTCTATCAATTGCTGAGAGAAGAATGGTGACATCTGTCTGTAATGGTGGATTTGCCCAATTCTCTTCTGTCAGTGCCACTGGTTTTGCTTTAGCTAGTTATCATTTGGAGCATTTATAAACAATAAAAACAAATTTAATAATCTTTCATTGAAGGGAAAAGAAGAAGGGGGCAGCAGAGGATGAGAGATGGTTAGATGCCATCACTGACTCAATGGACTAAAATTGAGCAAACTCTGGGAGGTAGTGGAGTACAGAGGAGCCTGGCGTGCTGCAGTCCATGGGGTCACAAAGAGTTAGACATGAGTTAGTGACTGAACAACAACAATGCCATATCTAGTGTCCTTCATTCATTGTATAGATACAGGTGAGACCTCTAGAATCACATCCCTTTTACCAGAAGAACCTTCTTTAACATTTCTTGTAGTGCGGGTCTGCTGGCAATAAATTCTTTCACTTTTTGTTTGCTTGAAAAAGTATTTCTCTTTCAATTTTGATAATATTTCCAGTGGATATAGAATTCTAGTTGACAAGGTTTTGTTTTAGAACTTTAAAGATGTTACTCCACTCTCTTACAATTTTTATAATTTCTGATGAGAAGTTTGCTGTATTCTTTTCTTCTTTCCTCTCTGTTGTGTTATTTTTCCTTTGGGTGCCTCAAGATGTCCTGTTGGTCTTTGGTTTCAGCAATTTAAGTATGATATATCTAGTGTGGGTTTTTTTTTTTTAACTTGTTTGGCATTCTCTGAGCTTCTTGAATATATGCTTTTGAGCCTGTCATTATGTTAGACAATAGAAAATATATTAATATATTGGTCTTTGCCTCTG